GGGGGGGGGGGGGGGGGGGGGGGGGGGTTCTTTGGGAACGTGTTTGTTTTGTTTTTTTTGTTGTTTTTTTACTTCATTTGAGCGGTGACATGTACCCCATATTTTGGCTCGCAATACAAAGCAAAAAAAAAATTACTGGACAAAGTGACGACGCTTACTCTTGCGTTGGGGCACTCGCAGGTTAATGTACGGCCGTATGCGAGTCACATGGGAAGCAATCTTAAAACGGTTTCAGCGCTTTCGTGGCTTACCGTATGCGGTCGCTTGTCCCACTGTAGCCCCAGCGACTCTCCACCTGTCCAAACCGCGTGATGCTGCACTCCTTCCCACGGAGGCAGCAGCGTGGCCGATCGATGAAGTCGACGCGCGGTTTAGGGTTCACTGTGAAGTGGAGGAAGAGACTCACCACCTCTCGATCAGTCAGTATGCTGGACTGCGCCGGTCCTGATGAAGCAAAATACGCGGACGGGTGAATGCCGTTTCGCCTGTGCGCTTTTAAGGAATCGGTAAAGTGTACTAAGAGGGGAGTTTTTGCTACGTGTCAATTCACCTGCGGCAAACTCTTCAATGGTCATGAGAGGGAAGCGGATAAGTGTGAGCGCCTTGCCCAGCACTTTGCGCTTGTTCTCCGGGGTGGGCTGCAATTGCTGCCGGTGGGCCTCCGCTTCCGCCCAACGCACTGCAGCGCCAAACAAACGTACCTCCCGCACACCCAAAGTGTCCCTCTCCAACACGGCGACCAGCGTATCTAAAAGGAGATAAACTCGTCATCAGATGCGAATGTGAAAATGAAAAGGCAAGCGGGAGAATTACCGAGGTCAACGTCTGTGAAGCCTTCGGCAGCGAGAGCATCCCCCGTGTTCTTATCAATGTTTTCTAGACAGAGGCTGGCAAGCTGAGGCTCATCAAACAGGCGTGCCTGAAACAAGAACACAAGAATGTACGCGCATGAGCCGTAATTTAAGGTACACCTCCACCTATTCCATGCCTTCATCCCATCTTGGATGGATTGCTGTAACGCACTTTGCTTTGGAATGCGCCACCTTGCTCCGCAAAAAGCGTGTCCATAATGACCAAGTCAATTTAATTTGAGCTGCTCGCCAAGTTAACCAAAAAGTAAATTGGGTCCAGCTGTC